TATATATTTATATATATAATTTCTAAATTTATTAACTGTACAATATATAAAACTTTCATGATATAAATATGATTTTATAACATTAATACAAACATAAAATTCAATTACTAATAATTGCTTTAATATTTTTTTTCATAAACAGTATATTAACAGTGCTATTGCAAAATATAAAAATGTTCCAGAATAGAAATTTTTCATTTACTTTTTTTTCTTCTTAAAATAATTTATATTTCAGTTATCATTATCTTTATCAAATAATATTTACACTATTACTAAACAGAAAACTAAAGACATTAAAATATATAGCAATAACTATTATATGCTTCCTAAAAATAATTAAAAATGTAATAATTAAGTAATGCTCATTTACTTTTATAGACTTCATTATAATAGAAGTCTGTCATTTTAAACCAATTTTACTAATTTAATGTTTCATGTTATCTGAACTAAATTTGCAGAATTCAAGAGGCACCTGATAAGGCTTAAGGTAAAATAAAAATTTACATTTCAAATTATATTAGGAACTAAACATCATACAGTAAAACTCCAATTATCCAAATTAATTGGGACTTCGGAAATGTGCAGAGTATCTGGATAATTGGATTTTTGCTTAAAATAGTCTTTCTATCCAAACACCCCATTATGTACAGTACATGTGTAGACAATTATGTGCAAATAAAATATTAAATATAGAAATATACCTACAAATTAATAGTTTGTTTTCTGTATTTAGAAAAAAATTACTTTTTGTGCATATACATTACATATACATACATGCATATTTATTTTTAAAAAAGTCAGAACAATCCAAATAATTGGAGTTTTACTGAATATGCAAAATTAAAATATGACAATAATGAAAGTCAAAAACAAAAAATATATATTTTATTATAACTGCCATTTGAATATAAAAAAAATGTGCAAATCAGATCTTGCAAACAATCATTACATATCACATTTACATAGCTGCTCATTTTTTTTTCAAAGAACACATGCTAGAATTAATGTTTAATTAATTAATTAATTAAACAACAAATGATTGTGCATTAATATTTCTTTCCATTTTCGTCTTTGAAGCAAAATACTTCACAACATAAACTGCTTATCATTCAATTATTTGCAATTCCTACATAACATAAAAGATCAAACTAAAAATTCTCTTTGCATTTAAATTTGCCTTTAATTTCTAATCAACAAATGAGATCTCTTAAAAATTAAAACAAATAACATTCAAATGGAAGATCTTTTAATTTACATTTATATATAGGAAGACAGTAAAAATTAATACTGACTGAGATATGCAAGATTAAAGAACTGCATATATTGAATGTCTACTTTTGGGATTTTATTATGTTGCTAAATGAATTGAATGAAATGAATGTTGAATACACATAATATACAGCAATATGTAATAAAAACTGATTTCTTTATATTAATCACAAACGACATTTTTCAATATCACTTCTTTCAAAATTAACTGAAAATAATTCTAGATTAAACTATACAGACTTTTCTTATATTTCTGGCAGTATATCTGGATGGATGTATTTGAGTAATTCTTGTTCATTGTTGACGAAAACCACTTTGCTTGCTGTTACCTCATTTAACCTAAGTTAATAAGAAAAAATTAGATATTTTAACTAATATTAATGTAATAAAAACATAATACAATGTAAAATTAATAATCTCATTCAATATATTTAAATAAAAATATTAAAAAATTATTTTTATATATCCTAAAACTGAAACTAGCTTTGTTTCATATAAATTTCAATTACTCTAAGCTTCATACATTATAAAATTATTAAATTGCAATTACAAAACAAAATAGTTACATAAATTCTTTATTCTTGAATCATTAATGGATAATTTGTTAAAAACTCTGATTATACAATTGTTTGCATTTAGCAATTTAATCTAATACAGGTAACCCCTGTATAACACGGCACTTCTATAGCATGGATTCACTCTAACACGGTTCGAGAATTGATACCATCCCCCGTATAACAAGGTACTTTTATAGCACGGATTTATTCTGACACGGTTCGAGAATTGGGTAAAACCCTCGTACAACAGGAAATGTAATAAAATTTTATATACTTAAGTAATAATAGTTCACGAAAATTATTATTTTCGTGAACTATTAGTACTTAAGTATGTAAATTTTCTCTTCTCGCCTTCTGTCGATACACGTGGTCCTTCTCGAAACTTGTTTCAATGTTGCCAGATCGCGACGCTTCTGCTTCTGATGTTGCCGAATGTTTTTCCCTTATTCCATACTTGCTTTATTCTTCATAAGTGCTTAGCACCATATAAGGAAATTTATAAAGACCTTTTAACTAGAAGCAAGCAATCTAAAATTACATACATTTTGCAAAAGGTAAAGCATGGATCTGAAGATAATGCAGAAAAATGCTCAGAGGATAAGGATAACTTGCCAAAAAGAAAACGCTCTCGGTTAATTAATAGTGTTTTTAGTGATGACGAAGAAAACATTGTTTAATTTATATTAATATGTATCACTTAAAAAAATTTTAATGAAGATATTTATCTTAATTATGAAAATATACTAGCATGTTTTTTAATTTTTGGAACCTAACCCTCCTTTTCGTATTAGTTCTTTGTTTCGTATAACACGGATTCGCATAACACGGCAATTTTTTGGAACGTAACTACCGTGTTATACGGGGGTTACCTGTATATACATTTATGAATTGCATTTCATGTGGCTCTGTGAAGGTAGCTGTCACAACTAAAATTATTTCTCATTTTATGAATCACTGAAGAAATAAAATACCATCAGTTACCATCAATCTATTCAGTTTGGAAAAAATCATATAAACTGCTGGTAAATCAGTTTACTTTTACAAACATTAAGTAAAAATCACTACATTTTGGTAATATGTAAAAAACAAAATGTAGAAAATTCTAAAAAGATTGATCTGGAATAAAGTTCAGAATTTATTCCAGGTCAATTCAATTCTAGATCAATAATCCAGACCAGAGATAATCCAACCTTTTTCCGAGAAGCATCACACAAGTTGTAAGAGACAAGTTCAGCAGCCATAAATTAAAAATATAGTGAAAGATGAAAATTTTATATTTCTGAATAACAATAAACAAATCAATTGAAATTTGTAATCACTTTTTTGAAAGAATGGCATCAAAATTAGGATGAATTTTGTGGCATTATTAAAATTCACTTTAAAAATTCCTTGGATGGTGTTCAGTATTTTGATTTTATATACCATATTTTATAGCATATAAAATGTGACTTTTGTCTTAAAAAAAACCTTGTATCTTACATAGAAAGTTATGATCTCCTATAGGCTAATGAATTTTCCAAACAACTTTCAGTAGTCTTTAGATAACTTCCATCTAGCACAACTCTTCTAAACTAATAAAAATGTTATTAAACTTATTATACTGTTTCTAACCAGAATACAGTAAAAAAGTCTTTTACTGTATTCTGGATAGATTGCCAAAGGCATGAGATACCTTAAATATATTAATTTTTCCTTAAATATTCTGTGCTTGTAAATGTATGTAGAAACAAAAATATAAAATATCCTCCAGTGCAAACTTCTTATATGCCAGAACATAGATATTGTTTTGGTGCAGAAGTGACAATACATGAGTTAAAATGAGAGTAAAAACAAGGCCTCCATGCAGAGAAGTCCTTGTATGAAGTTAAGCTGCATAATAACATATAAGTTATCGACATATGAGTAACATATAGGTAATTGAAATTATACAAGAACCTTTATTTTCAGTTACCACCACTAACCAGACCACATTGCACAAATTATGCTGTAATGATAAAGACAGGCAGAAAGAAACAAAAAAAAAAAAAAAATGTCAGGAATGTATAGAATGTCACGATTATTGAACATGAAAGATGTAAAAAAAAAAACGCAGTTTTAGTCATCTATCTCAGCCTTAGAGGATTACAAATTAGGATGGAATGAGGCAAAATTATTGTTTATTCCTACAAATTAAAGAATTTTGTTCCTGGCAGAAGTTTTATATATCAAAACTAACAATGTATATAATATTTCCACACTAAAACTTCCAACTGTATGGAATTGCATTATTTTGTTTCCACAGAAAATATAATATTTTTAATATCGTAAAAAAGATAAATAAAATATTTATAATAAGTAATTTAAATCATCCAAATGTAAGCATTCAAATTTGTTTCTTTTGAACACTATCAACTGAAGAAGCCTTACTTATATATAAGCAAAAGTACTTTTATTTTAATGTCATGGATTATGTGAAATCGTTTTCATATTGTTAAACAAATTTTTCATGAGTTAAAGAAGAAAGTTAATTCAGGATTTATTAAATGCTTATTGCTTTTTATTGCTTATAGTTTTAAACAAAATATAAAAAAACTTACCATCCTCTAATAATACCCCAACATCCAGCAAATATTGCTGGAGAATTCATAATAAGACAGATGCCTAAACGTTCTGGATAATGTTTACTTAAAAGCCAAATCAGATTTTTTACTAATTGATAGTCCATACATTGTAATCCAAAATCTTTCAGATCAAATATGATGCACAAGTTATCAATAACTTCCTCAAAACATTTTTTACAAGCAAGTTCCTAAAAAAAAACAAAAAATATTAAATTTAATTTTAACCATAATTTAAATATACCAAAATTCATAGAAAAACTGAAAGTAATAATAATGATATTATTACTTTCAGTTTTTAATAATAATGATATTATTACTTTCAGTAATAATAATGATATTATTATTACATATTTCTTAATAAAAATGTAAAATTAGATGGAATATAACAATTATTTCTATAGTTTAGTCTATATAATTTTCAGTTTTTTAAATTTTCTAGAGAATAACTTCAATCACTTTTGCAAAATTAATTTTATTAATAATCAATATAAGTAAAATTATGATTTCACAAAACAATGACTTTCCTCCATCTCAATCAAGTTGATAGTGATATAGACATGTCACAAAAATCACCATGATATGCCTGATAGGTGAACTACAAAAGAACAATACACACATTACTAGTACACACTATAGTTCCAACAAAAAATTTATTTACATAGATCTTTACATTACGTAATTATTCACAATAAGCAACATGGAAAATTTTATATACATTTAAAACAATCTTTTTTTACCAAAATTTGATGCCTTTCTTGTGCTTGGTAACTGATAATCCACACTTGGCAATTTTAAACAGAACTGAATTTCCTGCTGCTCTCATAATTTGAATTTGTATTATAGGGTACTTTTTTTAGTTTTCATATACTAATAATTTTAAAATAAACAAAGTATTATCATGTTGCATATTGTGAATAATTACATAATGTAAGGTCTCCTGTAAATGAATTTTTTGATGGAACTATATATTGTATGCAAATACAGTCATATCCCAAACTTACGCAATAGGTGGGACCGAGTGATAACCTCGTAAGTCGAATTCACGTAAGTCGGGGTATAATTTTGCATATAAATACATACAAATTATTTTTAATTGGGGCCTGAGACTAAAGAAAACAATAATTTAGAAAAAAATGTTTAACTGAATAAAGTGGATAAACACCAAGTGTTTTAATAATAACACAGTCTTGTGTTCAATAGTAAAAAATGTTTAATAAAATCTTAGATAACACATATGTATAACAAATTAGGCCTATATTATTTTACAATTTTTCACATTTACTTGATTATTACGCCATAATTTTAACATTGTTTCCATCTCAGCGATAATACTGTGACGTTTAGGAATGATGCTTGAATTTAAAGATTGAGCATTTTTCACAGCTTCAAGAAGTTTTTCTTTGCCTTTTATAATTGTTCNATTCCAAGTGCCATTGTCAAACTTCTAGGCTTACAGGAAGGCGGTGCTGAACATCTGACGTACATGTTTTCGCATTGATAACGTCGGCCCCAATCTCTCTATTAATGGAAAACAAAATTTGGAATTAAACAACACTCTTCTTCACATTAAAATGATGAAGACGTAAGAAATGAAGTTGAAAGAGAGAGGATTTGACAGATAAAGTTTTTAAACAAAATGGGTAAAATATAAGAAGTAACAAAATATATATGAATATCAGACATTTAAAAAGAAAATAAAGAAATAAAAAATTGAAATAAGAAAAAAGAAAATAAAAATGAAAGTTAAAATTAAAGATAAGTGAAAAAGATGATAATTTTTAAATTTAAAAACATATTTATTTATGCAACAATAACTGGTGTTTTTAAAATAAAAGTAACAAACACAAATTTTCGTATATAACTTTGTTGCATCATTAAATATTTAAGAAACTGTATTCTTAATAAATATCAAAATAAATGATAAATATTTACAATTTAATGATTATGAGATGAAATATTTAACAAAAAAAAATTGAAAAACAGAATTATTATTATTAATTCTTAACTTATATACTGTATTAGAATAAAATTCCATGCACTTGTAAGAGATATAAATTCTTTTGGACCTATTAGTAAAAAGATATCAAATAAATTGGACTTTCTTCTCAAATGAATAATAATTAATATTTGAAATGATTTTTAAAATAATTACTTGGAATTTTTTAATTCTTTTGGTACAAACTAACACACATTATTTTCATTATTGATTAATATATAATTTTCTTTTTAATACATCACATTAAAGTAAAGATTGTATTATAACTTTAAAATAAATTATGTAAATATTTATTTAAAAAATGACAATAGTGAAATGCTGACACATGATTTCATCTTCAGTTTGGCTAGTATTGTTTGAACAGTAATTAGACATCTAAATATCTATATAACATAATTAAATGTTTTTCTGTTAATAAAAATTATAACTAGCAACTGTGCTACTGAACAGTTCAATAGTATCAATTTTTTATCTTTTAGGATAAATATTCTCAAAATAATAATCATGCATTTTCATAATTCAAAATGCATGATAGTGGGTTTCTTAAAAGTCAATATTTTGATAATTTGGATCCATTAGAGACATTAATAAAATATACAAAATTAGCAATAAAAATCATGTACCATTATCTTCACTAGACATTTTTGCATCACTAAACAAGTGAATGAACCAAAAACAATTTTATTATTTTTAATTTAAGTTTATGAAATTCCTAATGCTAATCATATAGATTTTTCTGAAAAACTATTCATATAGATTTCACTAAAAAAATCTATATGAAGATATAGATTTTTTCAGTGTATTATTAGTTTCTTATTAAAATAAGAATTAATAAAAATAATTTTAATTCATATTAAGAACAATATGAATCCCATGAATCACACAAAATTCCTGTTCTTTCATTTTAATTAAAAAATTTATACATACATACTTATTTGGAAACAATAAATAAAATATTATGAAATTGATATACTGTACTAAAAGCAAGAACTAAATATTGTAAAAATTGCATACCAATGTATATACAATGAAACGAGTTAACTCATTGAGATCCCTTTCTGTTACACAATGTTGCCTTGCTGGAATATAAATTACAGGCCTGAAAGAAATAAATATAAAATTTTTCAAGCATTTAAAATACTATCAAATTTGAATATCTTAAATATAATTTGATATCTTCCCTATTTTCTAAAATCAAACATTCCATTTTTTTAACAGAAAAATCATTAAAATTAATAGTTACTGTGCTAAGCATTGAAATTTTTACTAAGTACACAGTGGTAAATAATTAGAGATTCATACTGTTTATTTGTATGTATTAAATGTATGTATTATTCTATGCATGACTTGCAGTGCTGGATTAACCAATAGAAAAATAAGACAAATGTCTAGGAGCCCATAATTTGGCTTCAGTACAGAAAAACAAAAATAAACAAACAATAAATAAATAATAAATATTAAAAACAATTTTTTAAAATTTTTTAGGAGGCAATAAATACAAGATATGTCTTTTTTGTATTCCTGGCTAATTTTTATGGTTGTGCCACTGCCAGAGGAATATTTGTAACTTTTTTACATTTGGAGATGGACGAGTAACCTCAGATAAAAGGTTGACTCTGCTGTAGAATTGTTAAGCATTTTCAAACTGAAGGTATTCATTTTCTGATAGCAAGCATCATGTGCTATGAAACTTGGGTGCACTATTTCATTTCAGAACCAAAGTAACATGGACAGAAAACAAAGTAACATGACCAAGGTTCTCCCAAAAAAATGTAAAACAGCCCTCTGCCAGAAAGAGATGGGCAACTGTCTTCTGAGACTTAAAAGGTATTATTTATGTGGGTTTCTTGCAGAAAGGGAGAACAATTACTATTGTATACTACTTCATACTGCTGAAAACCTTTGTAGGTTAAGCTATTTGCAAAAAGTTACCAGGAAAGGTTGTCATAAAAGGGACATTGTTATGAAGAATAATAACAACTCCAAACAGATAATCTGAGAGCATCATCTCTAACCATAATGGTTGGGAAGTTTCGACTTAGTCACAAGCATCATTTGTTTGAGGATTTGTCTTTAAAGGGCATCTAGAAGGAATAAAATTCAATTAAGACAAAACTCCAGAAATGGTGTTCTGGATTGTCTTCAACATAACCCACTTCTTTTTGAACCAAAGAAATCATGATGCTCCCACAACAATAGCAGCTGTGAATGCACATTAAACAAATACTTTGAAAAACTGACTTAGTTTGGTCAGTGTAATACTATCATTTTCTCTGAAGAAACTAAAGTCTTGGTCATCTCTGAACGATCCTCGTACATATTTACTGAGAAATATACAAAATATAAGCATTTTAAAAGTTTGTAATAAAATAAACTTAAATTTATATTGTAATTTCTGAACAGTATTATATAATACCTATGTATAAAGGTTTGTCTTGTATCTTATATACATAAATTGTGCATGCATGTTTGTTACACATTAGTATTTTACATTATTATACACTTAAACCAGATATATTGTTCTGTAAACCTATGTCTTAGTTATCATTTCTGAAAGTCTGACTTAAGAACTTTCCTAAATTTGCTATTGCATTAATCTAAAATTCTAAAAATATAATAATGTTATATAGCTTCAAAATTTCTTTATCTTATTATTGTAGATAGTAATATATAGAAATAATTTTTTCAATAATAATTGATAATCTACTTAATTTGTTTATATTTTTAAAAATATATTTACAAGTTAATCTAGAAGAAATCATTTATATTTTCTTCTAGATCACAAACATCAAAAATATAAGTGCAACTTACAGCAATCAAACATAACAATCTAGCATAGTAAGTCAATGTACTATGCTACATATTACAAGAATTCTCTTTTAACTTATAGCTAAGAATAACCAAAAATTAAATTCCTCTATCTCCATTTTAAATGTTTTAATATAAAAATTTATCAATAGACAATCAAGATGTAATTAAATTTGCAATATATAATATTAATAATAAATTTATCTAATTTATCTATTTTAATTTCAGTTTTGTAAAAAAAAATTAGTTTTATCAACTTAAGCTATTTTAAATATAAAATGTCAATTTTCTGTTACCTTCCTTCAAAATCTCTATGACGAAGCACTATTGCTTTCTTACTTTCTAAATTTTTTTTTATATCTGCATCATTGGCTGATATAGATGATACACCATATTCCTTTCTCCATTTGTTACATTTTAATATAGCTTGAAAAGCATCATCTACTGTTAAAAATGCCCTGAGAAATCTTCGAATTGAAATATCATTGTGATACTGAAAAAATTTATTAAATTATCAATAACTACAATTGTAGCAAAAGATTTTTTTCTAAATTTAAATACTAAAAGAAATCTTTGTTTACTTGATAGTATTGTTTGAACAGTAATTAGACATCTAAATATCTATATAACATAATTAAATGTTTTTCTGTTAATAAAAATTATAACTAGCAACTGTGCTACTGAACAGTTCAATAGTATCAATTTTTTATCTTTTAGGATAAATATTCTCAAAATAATAATCATGCATTTTCATAATTCAAAATGCATGATAGTGGGTTTCTTAAAAGTCAATATTTTGATAATTTGGATCCATTAGAGACATTAATAAAATATACAAAATTAGCAATAAAAATCATGTACCATTATCTTCACTAGACATTTTTGCATCACTAAACAAGTGAATGAACCAAAAACAATTTTATTATTTTTAATTTAAGTTTATGAAATTCCTAATGCTATTGATATAGATTTTTCTGAAAAACTATTCATATAGATTTCACTAAAAAAATCTATATGAAGATATAGATTTTTTCAGTGTATTATTAGTTTCTTATTAAAATAAGAATTAATAAAAATAATTTTAATTCATATTAAGAACAATATGAATCCCATGAATCACACAAAATTCCTGTTCTTTCATTTTAATTAAAAAATTTATACATACATACTTATTTGGAAACAATAAATAAAATATTATGAAATTGATATACTGTACTAAAAGCAAGAACTAAATATTGTAAAAATTGCATACCAATGTATATACAATGAAACGAGTTAACTCATTGAGATCCCTTTCTGTTACACAATGTTGCCTTGCTGGAATATAAATTACAGGCCTGAAAGAAATAAATATAAAATTTTTCAAGCATTTAAAATACTATCAAATTTGAATATCTTAAATATAATTTGATATCTTCCCTATTTTCTAAAATCAAACATTCCATTTTTTTAACAGAAAAATCATTAAAATTAATAGTTACTGTGCTAAGCATTGAAATTTTTACTAAGTACACAGTGGTAAATAATTAGAGATTCATACTGTTTATTTGTATGTATTAAATGTATGTATTATTCTATGCATGACTTGCAGTGCTGGATTAACCAATAGAAAAATAAGACAAATGTCTAGGAGCCCATAATTTGGCTTCAGTACAGAAAAACAAAAATAAACAAACAATAAATAAATAATAAATATTAAAAACAATTTTTTAAAATTTTTTAGGAGGCAATAAATACAAGATATGTCTTTTTTGTATTCCTGGCTAATTTTTATGGTTGTGCCACTGCCAGAGGAATATTTGTAACTTTTTTACATTTGGAGATGGACGAGTAACCTCAGATAAAAGGTTGACTCTGCTGTAGAATTGTTAAGCATTTTCAAACTGAAGGTATTCATTTTCTGATAGCAAGCATCATGTGCTATGAAACTTGGGTGCACTATTTCATTTCAGAACCAAAGTAACATGGACAGAAAACAAAGTAACATGACCAAGGTTCTCCCAAAAAAATGTAAAACAGCCCTCTGCCAGAAAGAGATGGGCAACTGTCTTCTGAGACTTAAAAGGTATTATTTATGTGGGTTTCTTGCAGAAAGGGAGAACAATTACTATTGTATACTACTTCATACTGCTGAAAACCTTTGTAGGTTAAGCTATTTGCAAAAAGTTACCAGGAAAGGTTGTCATAAAAGGGACATTGTTATGAAGAATAATAACAACTCCAAACAGATAATCTGAGAGCATCATCTCTAACCATAATGGTTGGGAAGTTTCGACTTAGTCACAAGCATCATTTGTTTGAGGATTTGTCTTTAAAGGGCATCTAGAAGGAATAAAATTCAATTAAGACAAAACTCCAGAAATGGTGTTCTGGATTGTCTTCAACATAACCCACTTCTTTTTGAACCAAAGAAATCATGATGCTCCCACAACAATAGCAGCTGTGAATGCACATTAAACAAATACTTTGAAAAACTGACTTAGTTTGGTCAGTGTAATACTATCATTTTCTCTGAAGAAACTAAAGTCTTGGTCATCTCTGAACGATCCTCGTACATATTTACTGAGAAATATACAAAATATAAGCATTTTAAAAGTTTGTAATAAAATAAACTTAAATTTATATTGTAATTTCTGAACAGTATTATATAATACCTATGTATAAAGGTTTGTCTTGTATCTTATATACATAAATTGTGCATGCATGTTTGTTACACATTAGTATTTTACATTATTATACACTTAAACCAGATATATTGTTCTGTAAACCTATGTCTTAGTAATATTTATCATTTCTGAAAGTCTGACTTAAGAACTTTCCTAAATTTGCTATTGCATTAATCTAAAATTCTAAAAATATAATAATGTTATATAGCTTCAAAATTTCTTTATCTTATTATTGTAGATAGTAATATATAGAAATAATTTTTTCAATAATAATTGATAATCTACTTAATTTGTTTATATTTTAAAAAATATATTTACAAGTTAATCTAGAAGAAATCATTTATATTTTCTTCTAGATCACAAACATCAAAAATATAAGTGCAACTTACAGCAATCAAACATAACAATCTAGCATAGTAAGTCAATGTACTATGCTACATATTACAAGAATTCTCTTTTAACTTATAGCTAAGAATAACCAAAAATTAAATTCCTCTATCTCCATTTTAAATGTTTTAATATAAAAATTTATCAATAGACAATCAAGATGTAATTAAATTTGCAATATATAATATTAATAATAAATTTATCTAATTTATCTATTTTAATTTCAGTTTTGTAAAAAAAAATTAGTTTTATCAACTTAAGCTATTTTAAATATAAAATGTCAATTTTCTGTTACCTTCCTTCAAAATCTCTATGACGAAGCACTATTGCTTTCTTACTTTCTAAATTTTTTTTTATATCTGCATCATTGGCTGATATAGATGATACACCATATTCCTTTCTCCATTTGTTACATTTTAATATAGCTTGAAAAGCATCATCTACTGTTAAAAATGCCCTGAGAAATCTTCGAATTGAAATATCATTGTGATACTGAAAAAATTTATTAAATTATCAATAACTACAATTGTAGCAAAGGATTTTTTTCTAAATTTAAATACTAAAAGAAATCTTTGTTTACTTGATACTATTAAAGAGTCATTGTAATAAACATTTAAAAAACAAATTAGTACTTTTATATATCTAAATGTATAATTTACATATATTTGATTTATATGTTTATTTGAACATATTCTGATATATTTGTTGTACATAAAATTATAATTATTTAGAGATTATTACATATACTGTATTTGGCAACTGTTTGTCACTATTGTGCTTTCTTTTATAATGGAAAATTTAATGACAGAACAAAGTTTCTCACCAGGAAACTCCAATTAAATTCCAAAATGATATAAATTTATGTGTATTGATTTTTATCCTAAACTCTAAGGTTTTACATTTTATTTAAAAAGTAATTAATTTTAAACTAAAATTTTCACTTTATAAAAAAGTGAAGTATAGATCACAACAAATCATCATAAAACTGAAAATGCATCCAGTGGTGCTGCAGTATAAGATGAACATAGTAGCTGTATAAAAACTGCATTGTCGATTTCAGCTATAAATAAGTAAACCTAAACTATAATTTCTGTATTATATTTTGTATTATTAAAAATTTTGATACTAAACATGTTTTATTGAAAAAAATATACAAATATTTATTGTGGATGCCTGGAACAAATCCCTAATCATTCCATTACATAAGGGATTTATTTTATGCCAATTTTGTTTATAATGCCTAGTCCGGGAATTTATCACCTGCATAAAATGAGGGTAGCACATACAAATAAATATTTTTTGGACAAATATGTTAAATGTTCCAATCAAATCTAATAATTTTGTAATGTCTTTTTATATTGAAAAACTTTGTATGAAAAAATGTTTTTAAAAACTTAATATTGCAAAAAAATACTTGGAAAAACTAGTGATGATAATTTTGAAAATTTTTTAAAATTTAAATCTCTTCACTATTATTACTTCACTTTTTTTTTATCACTATCAAACAAAATCATCACTATTAAAATACATTAAACAAATTATATAAATAAAAAGAAATTAATTCAAACGAACAAAACATAAATAATTCAAAATTCAATTACATAAACATTTAAAAAACTCTGACTCTATAATGATGAAGATGAACACATCTGTTACTAATCAGTAAAAGGAAAAAAATTATTATGAAATTTGCAGTCATATCAAATTAATTATACGAAGGTTAAAATATTAAACATTATTTTTATAATGCATAGTTATTCTAATGTTCAACTTAATTTCATAAACAGAAATTTAAAATGATTTTTAAAAAAATAATAAAACTTAACTATTATATTATATATACATAAAGCTAGTAAAATGTTCATAAAAATTATTACTATAATTAAAATTTTTAAAAGAATGTAAATTAAGCTCTTTCATATCTTATCAATTAATGCATTTAATTAAATTTAATAGTTTTTTTAAAATATAGCCAATATTGGATGACTCGGGTATAATATATTGATGTCAGAATAAAACAAATTTCATCAAAATTTATTAAATAATCATTTAATAAAACTCATATTTGATTAAAAATGTCAAAAATATACACAGTGCTAAGTAAACTTTAGTTTTTTTTAAATATTTAAGCAGCTAACGTAATGCTTGTAATTTTAAATCTTATCAAAATAACAAAAGATACAAAATCTGTACATAATAAAATTTTAGGATCAATTAAAAGATTATTGTATTTATATAGTTTACTTATAAAATAAATACACAGAAAATTGATTGGGTGCATAAATAAGTATATTTTACATTCATTTACAGATAATATTTAAGAAACAAGATTTATTATAATTCTGAGTTACTGATGATAGATTTTAAAGTAGAGCTATTTATTATATAATTATTAGTTTAAATGTCTAAATGAAAATTGCTTTATATTCTACATATTCTATTCCAGAACATTCTAGTATGTTCTGGAATAGAATATGTAGAAGAATCTCTGATGCATTTGAATTAAAAATTTTGAATTTGAATGTGTTAGAGATTTGTATACACACTATTCCAGAATATCACAACTAGAAAGATTTGATTTTTAAAGGTTCTACCTGAAGGTTTTAGAAGTAAACAAAAACATTTGTAACAGATATCTCACTTATGTACAGTACAAGGTCTACTTAAGACTGGTGAATTTTATTTTGATTTTTGTCTTCTTATAAATTAAACTAAACCTCTTTTGATTTTAGAATAAATTTAACCTTGAGTTAACTGTAGAATCATGTTGCACTATTGTTTTCAACTGTAAATTTAGTTAGAAAATCTTTAATGTCAACAGACTAAAATTAATATCAATTTTACTGGCTGGTCATGAAAGTTTATAATGTAAACAATTCAGTATCCCATCAAATAGTATATGAAACCTATTAGTAAAATCCAATAAACAACTGTCTTGTAATCCTTGGAAAAGATACAGAACTGTTCAAAAAATATAATTGTCAACTTTAGTTTAAAAATGAATTAACATTTCTTATTTATTTCAAGTAATTATTTAAAAAATACATTTTAAATTTAAAATCTGTTTACAGCATTACCTTAATTAATAAACAGAATTAGTTTATTAGTTAATATGCTTTCTTACCACACCGGGTTGTATAACTTCACAACCAACAACTGTCTACCCTTAACCATTAACCGGTGCGAAATTCTTTAAAATCGGCGAACGTTTTCGATTCCCCTCCTGGGATCTTCTTCAGGCTTACTTCTTTATATCTTTCGTTATAACCGGATTCTTTAATTCGAATGTTTTTGAAAAAACGTAACGTGCTATTTTTCGAAAAAATTCCGAAAACGGAAGGAATCCACTTGTTATTTCAAATGTAATTTTCTACCAATGGGGAATCATTGTGTGCATTACGTCATAAAACTTGTCTTATAAACTATATTATGATTTATCGTCAATTAAAAATTGCCATGCTGCAGAGAGATTTATTTCTTCTTTGAAATTAATGCATGCGGATTTACGATCGGCTTTAAATATTTCCAGTGCCTCCAAAGTTCTTAGTTGTTCCGTGTGTTGGGTGGTGCGAATAACATGCGCTTCATCGAAGAAAGGTGTGATGTCCG